ACAGAGCTCTCAGCTTTCTTGGAAGGAATGACCACATGAGTAGCTTGGGGATTAGATTAGCAGGAAGAGCAGACTTAGCCAGGCTGTAAATAGCCCACTTTTTTCACCATTAAAAAGGCCCAGTACAATATAATCAATAGACAGCACTCATCTGATGCAGGAAGCCATACGAGAAGACCTCCCTCAAGTGCTCTGAAGGACAGGCTACAGCAGCTTGGGCCTAATGAAGTTATTATTAATCACTGAGCCTCCTGTTTTGAACTTGTGTGTTGTTTCTCTAGTGGGTGATGAGTGGTCTTTGTGTGTGAGACCTGACTGACATCTCTCGCCGCGCCTCTTCTCACTTTCGTTGTCCGTCACGAAGCTTGACAAGGTCGTCTCCTGTATGTAATATTCATGAATGCTGGACTTTATGTGTTTGTCTCAGTCGCGTCTGCAAATTCAGGATGTTTCAGCAAATTTTTTTTTATTGCGTTACAAGTTAATAAGCAAACTAAAATCAGAAATCCTAGAACACCAAAGCGAAAATATGATGAGTTAAGCGTGTAGTCTCAACAACACATTTTTTTCTGCCTGTCCATCTCTCATGCGCGCACACACACACACACACACACACACACACACACACACACACACACGTCTCAGCTCTCAGTCTGAGCCTCCCCACAGGTGTTGGGTTACTCTGTAAAGCAGCTTGAATGAGTGCAGAAATCACAGAGGACTGTCTGTGCTCTTGATTCCCATTTCACTTTGAAGTTTCCCCCGGCTCACAGGAACAAGGGCCATGAAGCCCGACTCGTGTGAGGGCTTTAGACCTCTCTGGGAGGACTATGATTTCTGCAGGGTGGGGGGGCAGTATCGACGGGCAAAGCTACGTGTTGTCTCAGTTGTTGGGGGACTTGCTTTTTTAACTTTGTAGTCTGATGTTGGGAGAAAGAGGGGCAGATAGTGTGGGGAGCCCCCCCCCAACACCAATGATTGCTTTTTGATGGCACATAACTGTAGAGGAAGGATTAAAGTGGTTGGAGAACCAGGTCCCCCCCCCATCACAACAAACACACTCATAAGTACAGGGGCATCTATCACAGCGGAGACTAAATTAACAGCAGAACTGTTTTTCTGTCTGTGCACCGATGTGAAAATAAACAGTGACTTTTGGCTTTTACTTAAGATCCTGAAAAGGGGCTTTGGCAGGATACATCTGTAAGCACTCAAAAAATAAAAGACACCTATAATACTTTAATAGAGCCATGTTGGAGAGGCTTTTAGGCACAAGGTGTTCCAGTGTTAGGGTACGGCTCCGTCTGTCTCTGTTGATCTCATCAAAGGACCAAAGTGTCCCAGAGAGCCAGAGAAAATAACTTCAAGTGTGGATTTAATGAAGAATAAACTTACCCTCCAGTTACACTCACAGGAACTAGTTTTTTTTTTTTTTTTTTTGAAAGCAGTTTTCGGGCTGCCAGTCACTCACCTTATTTACAAAATAGCTCACTCCTGTCGCTGATCACAGCTGTGTGTGTGTTCTCAGGTATCTGAACCACGTGCGGGCTGCCATGCCTCAGGACACAGCTGGAGGATACAGCTCAGCTCTGGCGTGTCATCGAGCCGTCCAGGATGCGTTCAGCGGGCTGTTCCCTTCAAAAGGATGAACTCATAGCTCAAAGATGAGCAGTTATTGGATAAAACTGTGACTGAATGGACTATAAATACTGCTCTGCTGCCCCCATGGAGAGCTGCTGTCTGTGGTGTGTAGTGATATGACCGCTTTTTGGTCAAGGTTTAGTTTTTTATATTTTGTGTAACTTTTACATTAAATAAATCACAAAGAACACCAAGCGTCTGTCCATCATTTTACCTGTTTATTTAAGAAAAGAAAACACTCAGGACGAAACACGTCAAGCCCTGAATAATAACAGTTGTGATACATTCTCTTTTGAAAAGATGGGGTAAATTATTAAACCAAAACTGGTTGTAATTTCAACATCTGTAAAAGATGCAAGAATTAAAACTTTCTCATAAAACAAAAACAAACTCCAAAATAAGTTTGATATTAGATATTTCCTTGTGAGATTTTTACAGTGAATCTGTTTCTTCACACTTCTGTCTCTTTGGGGCCGGTTCCTCTGAGGGTTCTGTGGATAGACACAAAAAAACATTTAGAGATGAACAGAACAGAATAAAACTTACTTGGCTGATGTGGCAATAGGCTAAACACAGCACATACAATGATAGTGACAGTGGTGAATTTAATGCAAATAAAGTTAATTACCAGATCCATGATTTTTTCACTTTCTTTAACGTGATGTGACATTTTTTGACAGTGTCACAAGTTTCCAAGAGAATAATTGACGTCTCACTGAGGTCACTATCACTTTGTAACTGAATCTTTAGTTCTCACCTGTGGGATCATGACTGCTGCTGAAGAGGACTTCTTTAGGGAGTGTGAATCTCACACACATCATATCTTTGTTGGGAGCTACGTTACGCACAAAATGCAAGGAGCATCTGTTCTCCAGGGGGAACCCGAGGCTGCGGGACGCCCTCTTCACCACGTCTGTGTCCGGGTTGTCATCTTTAGAGAAGCCGTAGCAGTGCACCGTGGGTAAGTTCTCGTCACAGGGAGTTTCCTGGTGCAGGAGGCCTCTGAATGCATCCAGAAAGTCCAAAGCTAAAGCAGGTAAGTTCATCAACACATGAACGCTGCCTTTTCCTTTCAGCAGCGCAGGCAGCTCCTGCTTCAAGGGTCCCTGGATGAACGCTCTGCCGTCCAGGTTAAACGTTCGCACTTTGCTCTCCACCTTGTTGAGTTTGCAGTTGTGCTGCAGCCATCGGTAGGACTCTGGGTTGAGATCGTTGGCTAACACATTGGCGCCTGAGCGCGCAGCGGGGACGGCAAAGGGTCCGACACCAGCAAACACGTCAAACACGGTGTCACCACGTTTGACGAGCTGCACCACGCGCTGGTGCTCTGTGCTCAGCCGGGAGTTCCAGTACACACGAGAGAAGTCAAACTCATATGTCACCCCATTTTCTTTCACCTGCAACACACAGAAAAGTGATGTTGAGCATCAGATGCTTCTAAAACTTCTGTAGATGTTCTGAATATATTGAATCATAACTGAGAAACAGGAAATACTGTGAAAATACAATATGTGTGTCATTTAACACAGCATTATCTTTGTATTTGTTCTATTACTTACTTTAGCAACCATGTTCTCCTCTCCAGCGAGCACCTCCATTTTGAAGTTCCGGTACGTTGAGTCGATGATGTTTGTTTTATTGACCACACAGGTAACACCAGGGTTTTTATCCATGATGACTTGACCTACAACGGAAGCAACAGAAAAGTTGTGACGGTGAGTGTAACTCCATAAACCTGGTGTTTCTTTATTAACTCTAGTTTTCTTTGAGTTAGTTTAATTAAGAAATTCAGAAATGTAAGAATTTCAAGATAAAATTAAGTTAATATTCTTAACAGCTATTTAAAATATCTGTATTTTGTTGTATTAGCATTAAATACAGGGACAGCTCTAAATAGGTCATCTAAAATTCCCCAAATTTGGTTTAGCGATATGCACCATGGCTGTGGGGGTTTGACTGTATTTCTGATCTCCATCATGGAGGTGACAGATTTCCATGAAACTCAGTGGACGGATGGATCATGGGAGAAAAAAGAAAGAACCCATTATATTGGTATGGATCTGGATCAGGGGCTTTAATGTTGAGGGAGTTTTGTAGATTTCTACGAGAATAATTTATGGATCTTGTTGACAAAAAGAAAAAATCTGATATGTTTAGGGAACTGATATTTATGAGCGTGTGCAATGTGGTGCAGCTTGACTGAGTGAAACCTAAATAAGTGAGTTCCTTTGCTTTTTAAGTTATAAGTTGAAATGCTGCTTTAGTGGCAAATATATAATAATACATGTGTTAGTATTTTTTAATGACTAACAGTTTAGAACGAGAGTGACAGATACCTGAAATAAAGCTGACTTGATTGGGCAGAATGAAAATGATGTTAATCATTTAATTAGGGAATAAATTTAGGAGAAAGAATGTTTATCCCTCCAGTAGAGTTCAGAGACTGGGAGAATCTTTATCAAGGTTTGTTCACGTCTGCATCTCACCTATGAGGCTCTTGTACGGGAGCTGGTGGTCCCTGAGGTTCATGTGTGCGATGTGTCCCACCCGGCTGAACGCGGAGGTCACGTCCTGCCCCTGAGGCAGCACGGCCTCCAGCACCTCCTCGCTCTTCAGGTTGTCGTAGGTCAGCTGCAGCTCGTGGGACTGCAGCTCCTCAGAGACTTCGAAGGACCTCAGAGCCTCGGCTTCGGCCTCAGAGAAGGAGCTCGTGGAGGAAATTCGGTGAGGGTCCAACAGGATCAAACGAAAGTCGCCTCCGTCCTCCGTGTCTTGAACGACTCTTGGCATCCCTGGGCGCTGGATGGTCGCCTTCTTCAGGCTCTTTATCACCTTGTTCAAGACCCTGATGGGCACCCTTAAAGCTGGGACCGTGATGGTCTGCGTGAAGGCCTCTTTGTCCAGGGAGGTCATGCCTCGGACCCCTGCAGGGGGCTGGTACAGTTTAGGCTCCATCGTGGTTTCCAGAGCGGAGCCGGGACAGAGTGCAGCTGATGGAGAGGCTGCAGACCCGAGGTGAGCAGCTGCTTTGAGGTTCCTGTGTGTGTGTGCAGATGTTAACACTCTGCTGAGGAGCCTGGAACGGAAACAGAACAATGGAAACACACACACAATGGAAACCTGCTGATAGTTGAACACACACATAACAATAGCAGGTTAAAACAGTCATCATCATGTCAGTATTACAGAGAAAATCACTGGAAACTTCTCAGACCTTGACATCCCTCCGCTCTCGGACACGCTTGTGTTACGTCATCAGTGTGAGACCGGGGCTGAGTGCTGATTGGTCAAACAGGCGGAGAGCTGAACCCTGATTGGACGGTTTTTTTCTCTGACATATTAAAGCGACGGAAATGACAGGCACGTGACGCGAGTGGCGCTGAACAATAACAACAGTGGCGATCAGCTGATGAGAGAATCAGACTGAACACAGATTTAAAGTGAAGCAGCGGAGAGCTTCAGTGTGTGTTCACGTCTCAGCTGCAGAACATGAGTGTCAACGTAGATCTTTACCGAGAATGTGTCGCCGGAGACAGAAGAGACGACGAAACGGCTCCTTTATTAACAAATGTGAGTATAACATCTGTGTGTGTGTGTGTGTGTGTGTGTGTGTGTGTGTGTGT